CATATTTCTCCTACTATGGCTTTCGGGGGGGGGGCTCATGTGGAGATGCGAAAATCGCTATCCTGTTGGAAAATCTACTGTATCTTATCTCGTTTGGCATGTGACCGACTTTCCGCTAATCTCCTCACCATATCAACTCACACAAAAAAGGAATTAGTAGTTCATTAAATGTGGCCAGGTTGGGGTACTGAGGCATCACCTGATCAACTCAAATTTTCCACTCAAATTTTAAGATCTGCACGCCTCTGGTCCTCATTACAACAAGGGCTTAAATCACCAACAAGGAAATTCGAGAAAGGTTTGTACGAATGCTTTCAGTTGAAGAAATCTCATTAAATTGTTCGTTGTTAGAAAGCGGCTCCCATGTAACTATTAACTTCTTCGCACTTGCATTCTGGGATAATTTCACTGGAACTTTCATAGGTTGGGATTCTCAAAATTCTACTACGTGTCATATCTATTGATCCTTCCGTTTGGACTTGTTGTCGGAGTAGTCGTGACCATCATCGTTAGTCTGTTAACAGGTAAGTAACGCCACCTAGTGTTTGACTTTGGTCAGTCTTGGTCGTATTGGCATGACGGAATACTCACATTGGTTTCATATTTTTCATTTCAAGGATGCGGATCTTCGAGGGGAGTAAGAAGAGATTTGTTGCACCCTAGCCTTCCATCTGGATGTGTGTCCTCGGACTCACACGATTTCCGGTTTGAGAAAGGACTCAAGAGCTCAGACATTCAAAAGATTAGTTGCTCAGTCATAAGGGTCAAAGGTGCCATCTCCGATGATTGAAGACGGAACAATCTTCTCAAGTTCCCAGACGTGAATTTTCGGTTGTTGCTCCATTGCTCCATCAGGAATTGCGTTTGGACGTTTCACCGAAGACGAAGGAAATGACCGTAATTTTCTGCTTCTGTTAGGATCATAGTGTATGGATTATCTCCTGTTTAGACTATGACTTTCCCGTCTATTTAACAGAATGATGTGGTGCCGAAGTTTTTATGGCAAAAACCGGTGCAAGTTTCTCAAGCAGTTCCAAATTTACCTCTTGAGCTCACTTGAGCCTACCTAATCTATGGTAACCCAAGCTGACCAAAATGAGGCCAGAGTTACTCGTGTTGACCTTTCCATACAGCAATACCAGATCTACTGGCGAATATCTATCGAATAAAATAGGTGGGATGAAAGGTGAATTGGTTTCACTAGCATTAGCAGTTTCATTCTATTTTCCGATTGTAAACGGTTCTCCTCGACACTTCATTGGAACCAATGTTTTTGTCGTAGTTGGCAACATCTACGAGCCTTCACTTTTTTTTTCCCACGAGTAGGATTGGCTTAAGTGTCATTGGAATAGCGGTCTCCCAGGATGACTCTAGAAGACTTGCATCAGGCGAATGGGTCAATTCAAACCTAGGAATACTTAGGTACACGTTCGTCACTTTGTGTCACTGCGTTGATTTGGGTTATGGCAGTCAAATTTGGTTACGTGAGTCACTCTTGGATTATTTAGCTCAAGTTTGGGTCAATGTACCAATTTGGGTTACTTAGGGTCACTTCGGTGACCCAAGGTAACTCAATTCAACACTTCTGGTAATAAACAACATTTTGTAATAAACACTTTGGTGTCACCCACTGACACTTTACCGTCACTGACTAGTGACGGTACAATGCAAACGCAATGGATAGAGAAGAGAGAGAGAGAGAGGGGAGAGAGAGAAGAGAGAGGAGAGCCATAGAGCACACAGTGAAAGTAAGATAACTTTGGCATCACAGTAGGCGGATGAGTTTTAAATAGTCCAGACGGGAAATAATCCATTCACTATAATTCATCCCCCTTTCCACCTACTTCTACCTCTACTGTGCATGGGACCCTTTTCTATTCCACCTCTCTATCCTTACTATACACCCACAAACTATGTTGCGTTCAGCACAAATAAAAGTTCTGCATCGAGTCGCTGAATCAGAGCTCGTCATGGTCAAAGACGAAGATGATAAATAAAGTTGTAAGCAACAGTAACTGGGATGCATTTTCGGCCAAACGATTTGCTTGGTGCTTTCCCTCTCCCTCGCTATGCATATATCAAGTATTTTCCCCGTTCCACTTCTACGATTCCACTACGGTCACATGCATGTGATTGGAAGGTGTGGAGTAGAATTCCAAGTCCTCATGTAGGAGTCCCCGACGGAAATGCATCCAATTCGGCACAGCAAACACTGTGTCAACATTGACAAAATGTTCATGCGTTGAAACATGGTTGACGCATGGTGGAAGTTGATGTATCAGCGTAGAATCAATAGGATTGAAATCTGAATCCGTCATGATTAACCGCATCTTCAGTGTATCGAGACTACTCGTGGATTAGTGTAGTTATTTGGAGATTATGTAGCGCATATTTATTTTCCATATTTACCTATCCCATAGTCTTCATGTTATTTTAACATGAAATTATCCACGTTGGCTCAATAGAAAATAGGTTCTACAAATCGACACGAGATGGCGCCTAACTGCCAATTTAGCGATTCTCACCCCGATGGCACTAGGATGAGTCCCTGCATTTTTCATGGAGTACCCATCTTTTCTATCTCCGCATCCGATACCAACCCTGAGCGCATGGTTGCACATGCGCACCGCACAGACATGATGGTATTCATGATCACAGGAGCGTGCAAGGAGGCAGAAAAAAAGCTACAAGGGAGAAGATATCTAAGCTCTAGGCTAGATTATTGGCGCTGTTCGACCGATTTCGTCGGGGGTTGCACGGCCGGCCTAGAGCACCAACAACCAATTCAACATGTTTCTCCCGAAATGGTGGAATTTTGGCGCCATCCACCTGGCTTTCCGATCTGGGCTGTATCTCGTTTTCCCCATCACCCCTCCGCTTCTCTTCCTCTCTCCTACTTCTTGGAATGCGTTAAGGAATAGAAGTGGGGGGGGGGGGAGTGGTTCAGCTTAGGACCGCCTGAAATCTTAATCAGCCCTACCAGGGAAGGGAATCTGGGTAGCGTCAGTGGCAGGGGAAGCATTTTCATGGGGGAGATTTACTCTTATGACCCCATCCTAAAAAAAAAGGCCTGAGTGAATTTCCCTATTACTAAAATCCTGCTCACGCCACAGGTCTTGTTCTCGCGAGACTAGGAAAACAACTCGCACTAATGGAGAGAATTCATAAATGTTCGTTCAATACGGAGTTCTCTGTTGAAGGCTTTTGTAGGTTTGTCTATAGAATCCCCGGAGTCCCATTCTAGTGGAAGAGAGACTCATGCAGATGGAGTTCAGGTTCTCAAGAAAGCAATCAAGGTTTCCTTGGAAGAAAGGAAAAAAGGATGGTCGAGTCTGGTCAAGCATCCGGAGCCAGAAGGGACGAATGAACGAGAATTAGAAAAAGAAAATGTTCTTCTCGGTCTCTTATCCGATTGAAGGCCTCATCTGAATTCGACAAGAACTCTTTCAAAAGTGCGGCGGGAATATCGCTCCGATCGACAAGGTCGATCTTTGACATTTGTCGAGATTTATTCAGGCGCCCGGAGTCCTCCGGCGACATAGTGCGGCGAGATGAGGAGTGCGACAAATGACGGCGAGGTCAAAAGAGCCCTTCCACACGTGAATCCTAAAACGTCTCCCTATGGAGAAGGATATCGACGAGCTCATCGGAGCCAGGTTTTTTGTCTCTCTCTCTCTCCTTTCTCCCGCTCTGTTCCTCACTTCTCTCTCCGACGATCTGTGCTTGAACTCTCGTTGCGCTCGTGTTCAGTGTCGGCACCATGGGGACGATGAAACTCAACACCGCTCTGCAGGACACCAGACTCAACAAGTTCCTCACGAGAAGGGCTAGTTCCGTGGGGTTAGACTCGAAATCTTTCATGTTTTCCTTTGTTAATGAGAAAAAAAGGTCATTTGACCTTTTTTCTTACCTTCTTACCTTCCCAGATTGCTCGACTTTGGAGCAGAAATCCAGAACTTCCAAGATACTCTTTTCAATCTCCTGAAGAAAAAGAATAGTCAACTCACTGCGGGGAAATTGTGGAGTGTGAGTCGAAGGAGAGAATAAGAGATGAAAGAGGATGGTTTTCTGTAATGGACACGTGAAAATGTTGATCTGTAGAAGTCTGAAAAAGTTAAAAATGAAGGGCTGATGAGTGAATCTACCCAGCTCCCTCTCCCCCCCCCCTCCTTCCTCCTCACCCAGTCAATCGTTTTGGTCAGGTATTTTTGCAATCATACGAAGTACAGTCGACGTTCAATTTATCATGTAGAAGTTCGAGGACCCTCTTTAGAACGAATTTTCTGCTTTACGAAATATTTGCTGCCAGTTTCGTGCCGTTTGATCATTCGCATGCAAGTTGAAAAGTTTGCCCATGACGAAGTTCTGTATAATACATTGTTTGATTTTAGGATGTGATTTCGTCCGGAGGTAAAAAAGTTATTCTACTAGTATAACTTCAAAGTTCATATCTGATGCAGTCGTCAGAGCTACTTCAACCTCGATATTATCTCTTATCTAAGTTTAGCATGTGTCCCCAAGTCATGGGTGTGGCCGTTGTGAGAAAGAGTCAGTCTTATTCCTGTCAATGAGCTAGACGAGAAAAGGGAAAGCCCCCTCTTTCGAGGGGAGAGAGTCTTCTTTTCGCTGCTCGCAAACGGAACGAGAACTTCCATCGATTCCCATGCTCTTTGGTGAAAATTATCAAGCAAGAAGCGTTTATCGAAGCAATTGCGAAATAGGAAAAAATCCCCGATAAGGAATTTATCCAATGATGAATTCTTTAGTCTGTCCCTTCGAGTTTGCGATATCGAGCGGCAACTGCTATTTGAGCAATTGTCGTTAATTGCAAGAGCCCTCTCAATAATTTAGTATTTACTTGAAGAAGTACGGGAATTGTTGTCCCACTCCCTTTTTGAAAGCTTGTGGGAATGCCGTTCCCACCACTAAAAAAATATTGAAACGCCGTGTCATCCTCTTTCCCCTCCTACTTTCGTCGCTGAGATTTCTTTCATCACGGGATGCTCGTTCCCTAAGGAACTGGAGAGAGAGGGTCTATGGAGAACCGACCCACGATTGACCAAGATGAACGAGTTCTTGAAGGATCTGGCCGAGAGCGTCCGCTTGAAGGAGGGCGAGAACATCTCCATGGACAGCCTCTACCTCGATAAGGACACATTCCTCGAGTGACGCCTCGCCTTTTCCCTCATCGTGGAGACTCCATTTCGGCCGTGCCCAATTTTCTTTCATTTTTTCATGCGTGCTTCTCAGGGTGGTGAAGAGCAATCTGGGCCTGATTTCCCGAGCCTTCCGTGCGAACCTGATCATTCCAGAGTTTTTTTACTTCCAGAAGACCTTGGAGAAATTCTACGTGGAATGCAAAAGCAACAGGGATGGAAAGGTAAGCACATTCGGAAAAATAAGTTTGCCAACTTGCAGGCTTTGAATGAGGAAGAGGACCCGATTGCTTCTCAGATGTTGGAATTGATCTCAGGAATGACGGACGAAGACGCGTGGGCCGTTTCCGTCTGCACCGTCGATGGCCAACGCTGCTCATTCGGAGACTGCAAAACCTATTTCACCATGCAATCTTGCAGGTAGATGCCATTTCCCTCCCGACGATCGTGATCGCATTCGCCGTACCTCTCCGTTGCCCGGGCTTAGTCGCTCATTCCGGTTGCTAGCAAGGTGTTCGCCTACGCGTTAGCGCATTCGGAGTTGGGGAAAGACGTGGTTCATCAATACGTGGGACAGGAGCCCAGCGGCAGGGACATCCGCGAAATGGCCCTCGATTCATCAGGTTCCTTACACACTTCACAATTCCTCCTTCATGTCTCTGCCAAAAAAAAAAGATCATACCAAATGATGGGGTGATTGCAGGTCGACCCCACAATCCGATGATAGACTCCGGGGCCATCATCGTCTGCTCCCTTCTGCAAACCATGGTCCATCCCGAGATGAGATACTCTGAGAAGTTCGAGTGGCTTCGAAATGCATTCCAGGTAAGACCGAGAGCGAATCGAACTCGGTTCAGTCTTTGCCTCAGCTTCGATGGCGTCGAGTGAGGTTCGAAAAACCCCCTCTCGAGACGAGGCTGCAGAAAAAATATAGTACGCTTAAGCTTACCTAGATTTAAACTTCCTTTGTTAATTTAAACTTAACATCATCGTTAGATTTTTTTAATCACTTCATTTCGTACATTTTGTGCATATTATTCTTACGATATTGACACAAAGTACATAAAATAAATTCTCTTAATGAAAGGGCCGTAGAACATGCTTTCTTTAACTGTGACCAATTCCGGGGGTCTTTTTTTATGGTGGCTTTTTTCCTAAGACCGTGTGGATTTATCATCGCGCTCGGCATTGCAGCGGATCGCGGGGAACCTGCCGATCGAGTTCAACAACGCGGCTTTCATCGCCTCGAAAGATATATCGGACGGGAACTTCGCCCAGGCCTTCTACATGAGGGAGAATAAGTGCTTTCCTCCCTCGGGCGACCTCAAAGCCTGCATGGACCTCTACTTACAGGTAACCTCTTCCAGTAACTCCTCTCGTCGCCTTCCCTCGTCGGCTCGGGGCGAAAGACGCTCTTTGGTTCCTCCGCGGGGCAGAGCGGCTCGATGGAGGTGACGTGCGAGACGATGGCGGTCATGGCGGCCACGTTGGCCAACGGCGGGATCTGCCCGCTCACGGACGAGCAGGTCCTTCGAAACGTCTCCGTCAGGGACACGCTCTCTCTGATGTACTCCTGCGGGATGGATGAGTACTCCGGGGAATTCGCCTTCAAGGTCAGCATCTTTTCTTGCATGGGGCTTACGGATTCGCAGAACAAGTGCAACGACCGTTGACGTCATTCGCAGTTTATTTTCCTCATCATGGAAAAAAAGAAAAATTATCCGAGGCGGTGGGAGGACTAATCATTTGGATGTAGGATTCACGAGGCGGCTTAAAACATTGTCATCTCGTTACATGTACCTCTTCTAAACACATAAATGACCGTGGGATTATGCATCTCGTTTCCTCGTAATTTATTATCAAATTCTATTTGTCGGCTGAACCGAAGCTTTTTTTTTATTTCTCTCAGCAAATGGGGATGCGACTTTCGACATCGCCGTGCGTAAAAAATCCTTTCATCTTCATGAAAGAGGCTGAAATAGGAAAGAGCTATTCTATGATATGTAGTTCCCTCACGTGAGTCTAGAATAGCATGGAAGTAATGATAATATAACATCGGGTGACACCTTTTTAAGCCATTGCGTACACCGGTACAATTAGTTTTCTGGGACCATGTGAAACCCCCAAAAACGCTTCTTCCCCCATAGGAAAAGTAGGTTCCGCGCGACCACAACCATCGTTATCGCGGGCTTCATGGACGGGCCACGGAGCTCAGCATTGGGGGAAAGAGGCCTTGTGCGAGGGACTTGCAAAAAGTTTCCCACCCGAGGCTGTATGATACAATTATTTTTCTCATGGAAAGACGGTTCTTGACCTTCAGCTAACCCCGCTCGAAGATCTGTCGGAAGTCGACTTCTGCAGGGTGAGAAAATTGATCGCAGCCTTCGTCTCGATTTGTACACTCTTTGCAGAAGAGCCTTCGATGGTACATTGAAATAAATTTGTAAAAACTGGCTATGTTTACAAATTTATTTCAATGTGCCACCAAAAACTGGCTATGATCGCAAAATATGGTGACATTTTGCCAGTCACCATCATAGCAACTATATTTCCATGAGAAAAAGAGGAAAGGCGTTTCTCGTACAACCGGTTGTGCCTCAGCCCGGAAATTTTTTGAACCCTCCCTTGTGAATCCAAATATTTTTCATACAAGTACGCAGACTCCTCCCACTTTGTCAGCACGCACTATTTCGTGAAAGAAATCGATATGTAACATATCCTAACGCATGTTTTTAGGTTATTCCGACCTTCTGCTGTCATAAGCGCTCACTTCCTCGGTTCCTCGCAAAGTTCTTCTTTCCTTTTTTTTTTTTTACAACATATTTGAGAGGTTCAGGAGCAAAGCGTTATAACCCACTTTCCCCCCTTTTTTCCCTTTTTCCCCTTGGAGCCTGTTCCTCTAGTCTCTGCTAAACTTAATTGAATCAGGAAGCGATTTTTCAACGTGCTGAAAGACTGTTTTTAGGTTAGACTTACTCTTTAGAAGTCTAGCAGGGGGGCGAGGTACAGACCCCTGAAACCGAAATGATGCAGACGCCCTAACGGTGACTTCAAAATGAGTCACTTATCAGAATGGAAGCTTCCCGCTTCCCCCAGGGGGAAGGAGGCAGGGAGGCACTCGCGAAGCGTGTGGCCCACCTGTCAATTAGGCATGCCGCTCGAGCCTCTGCTATTGGCGTAGACTTCCGCTCTCGCGTTGACATACGCTGTGGTTTTGCCGGAACGTTGATAAATATAGCTCTTTTTGACCATATTCTGTGATGGAGCTATGTCTCTGCAAAATTTCATCGCACAACTTCTCATTCCTTATAATATTTTTTTATCCGGAATGCCCATATACACGTATATACACACATATGAACTATTAATAATACAACATACATAGGGTACTTATCTCCTTTTGATCAAAATTCCGAAGGCGGTCTCGTAAGGTTAGTTTTATTACCTAAAAGAGTTGCTGGATGCGTTAGTCTAAAACTCGGAGGAGAGAAGGGCGTGCATGGTGTAGGGATCCTTCTAAAAAAATAGTAATAATATATAAATAAATGTAGAGCAGAACGAGCAGAAGAAACGTCTGTCTTAGTTGGTAAGAATCTATGCTGCATATTGAAAATGTGTGGAATTGTAAGGAACTCTTCGAGTACTTCCCAGAGAACTTTGGAACTTGCGAAGTGGCTGAGTCTCCCCTGTCTCTGCTCACGGTAATGAATATCAACAGTGACAAGAAACAACATAAGTTTAGATTCTTTCTTGAAGAGGAGCCCATTCTGTGAGTGCACTGTAAGTGCAGGATTTTTTGTGATCCTATTGGGTCATTCCACGCCTAATCGACCAGAGCGTGAGCTCGACCATCTTGGATTTTGACGAAAATCGGCATACACGTAGAGGAATCGATTTAAAGAAACTAATTTCAACCAATTCTTTATCTCTCGCACAGATCTCCAGATACGTCGTTAGAAATGGCATACCAAGCACTTTTGAATGAAATATTGGAACAACGAATTTTCGAGGTGGCAAGTCTAGATATTAGCCAATGAACTTGATCAAATTGTTTGATCAAATGGAGCTTCTTGTTTCAGTTTGGAGAATAGGACCTGGAATCAATTTAAAGATGGCAATTTCAAAATTAAAATGACACCAGAATGAAGCTTACATCTTATTTAGAGGGGAAGTTATTGCAGAAACAGTTTCACAATTTCAGTCCGTATTGGCGCTAGGAGCCAAAAGTAAGTCACATTCAAATGCATACCGTACAGTATAGAAGATCTGCGCGATAGACAAAAATTTGTTGGAATTAGTTTCTTTTAAATCGATTCTTTTACGTGTATGTCGATTTTCGTCAACATCCGAGTTGGTCAAGCTCACGCTCTGGTCGCTTTGGCGTGGAATGACCCTATTATATTCTTGTTACATGTCGAGCACTTAAAAAAATTTACCATTTGACCCATGATGCGAAACTTCTGACTTTAGGTTGGGTTACCCGCTAAATCGGGCACATCGGGAGTGATCATGGTGGCCGTTCCGAACGTGATGGGTCTCTGCGTGTATTCCCCTCTCCTCGACAACCATCGCAACTCCGTCCGAGGGCTCCAGTTCTGCAAAGTGAATGCCAGCCTGGCTGAATCCTCTCGAATGAATCATTTTCACGTGACGGATGATGACGATAGTTTGTCCTACAGAGGATGGTGGAAGTGTACAACTTCCATCATTACGACTGCAGCATGAAGCATGGCCGTCAGAAGGAAGACCCTCGGCATTCCCGAGTGGAAGAAAAGGCGGAAGAAGTGGTCGGGCTTCTCTTCAGTGCTGCTTCAGGCGATGCCACTGCCATGAGGAGGTGGGACAGGAAGCACTTTTTTTTAACAATTAATATTCGAGTCTCCTCACCGGGACGTTTGAAATTTGCCATCATATGTGTGGATTTCGTCCAGGTACCACCTGATAGGGATGGATATGGAACTGAAAGACTACGACGGACGGACTGCCCTTCATCTGTCAGCTGCCGAGGGGCATCTGGAATGCGTGGATTATCTCCTCAATGTCTGCCACGTCTCCCCCTTCGCTCGAGACAGGTCCGTGGACGGAATGTCCTCGATGCATTGGGTCTCGACTAGGGGTCAGATGTACAGTATAGGCTTATGGCTTCCACGGTTATACAAGATATGACCAATAAGTAACACAAAAATGTCAGAAATAAGGCGCAAAAATAGTTGGAATAGCGTTGGACTCGTAGATACCCTCGACTCTCTGATGATCCGAGAACATTCGATATCACTTGAAAATATGAAGCTTGAGCCCTCATGCATGGACCAGAGTTGTCGAAGGCCTAGTATCACAAAATGCCGGTGACGTGCTTTGGATCCCTCGCATGTGATTCGGCTAAACCTTTTCACACAGGGGACCATTAGGAAATCCAGTGGCGTGCAGACGTTTTTTTCATATGTTAACCCCCCCCATTAGGGTAGGTAATCAGTGTTTCATATGGCGACTCCCCCCCCATTCGGTTTTCCTGGGCACGCCACTGAGGAAATCAGATAAGTTTAATTTTAACAGGATCACTGTACTCATGTCACCCATTGTTTCCTGCACGGGGTGGAAGAAAACAGCTGCGGTGGGTGCCCAGGGCAAGAGAGCTATCGATTCTGCCCTGCCTCGCCTTAGGATGGAATCGGGAATATGGATCTGTAACACAGGTATACTACTTCCCAATAAGAGGCACAGATCCGATGACATGACCGTCTCATGTGAACTCCTGGAAACGTCACCGACTATGACATAAAAAAATAATTAGAAAGTTATTGCTGTTACACAAAGATCTCATTGGGTTTGTCTCTCTTCTTTGGAACACAAAAGTGCTCAGTGATGTCTCTTCGCAAGCAAAATAATTAAGCAACCCTGAAGACCATTTCACTGGAGAATACCATAACATCATTATGGAAGTTTACGGCGTAGAGCTAACGCAAAACCGTAAACACCCCTGCAGCTCCAGGCTCAGCGTCACCATTTTGCGCAGCGAACATGGAGATGCTGAGCATGGAAATGCATGTTTCTTCCCACGTACATCGATGTACATCGGATTTCATACCGTTTGTAGAACATATTAAATGCTATGATTTTACGAGGGATACCGACAGACTGAGAAGTGTTTGTTTTGTTGCTGGGGGAGGATAGTGTCGCATTCAACGTGTTGATTGCGATGCTGCGATGAGAACGCTTTTCAGAGGTGGGCATTAGTTAACCATGACGTCAACTCGTGTTATCTAGATGTCGCAACAGCTGTTCCTCTGCAGGAACGGTAGGTTGGTTTCGTTTGGGTTTTCCGCAGAGGGTAGCAAATTCGTAGTACTTGGTTTTCCTGTAACATTCCTATTTCAGTATGTACAGCACACGATGCCATCGAGGCAACAGACCGCACAGCCGACATCAACGGAGGCACATAAAGTTCCTCAGGCTTAGACAGAGATCTAATGAAAACGTCCTCTGTTGCCGATCAGAAATCTAACAACACACTTCCGTGACGCAGGTTGCACGATGGCTCTGAAATTCAGATTTTTTCATGAAATTCAAGCATTGCTTAGCATATAGCCTTCTGTTGCTTTCTGTCCTTTCTTGATGTCCCTAATCTCCGGAACAGATGTTGCGCATCGGAGTGAATTACAAATGGGATACTTCATTCGGGTGATACTTGGAATATTGACTTCGGTCTGTTGCAGATGGGGACACACGGCCAAGGACGATGCGAAGATCTTCGGACACAACGACGTCGCCGCCATGATCGAGCAAGCCGAAAAGTGCAAGGGACACTTCATGCAGAAAATGGAAAACGTGAGCCTCAAGAACTAGTAATACTGGATAACTGAATAATAATAAAAAGGAAGCTAAAAAAAAAGGTAGGAAAGGAAGTAGAAAAAATTGGAGGATCACACGGCAGCAAAGGAGGAAGAGAGTGTTAACCTGGCCATGATTGAAGAAGCCATCTGCGACGCTCTGCTTATATGATCCACTATCAGGTCTCATCTCCTAGCTGCCTGTAATCTGTTCCCTTTTCGTTCGCTTTTTCCTCCTCCCGTCCTCTTCTCGGGACTGTGGATGAGAGCTTCCATAGCCATTCCCGTAATTGAGTCTTTGCTTCCCTCTACCGCCGGAGTGCTGCCGTCAAACAGTCAACAATCAATAACACACTGGATGTATCTCCCTCAGCGACCCTCCCCCTTTCTCTACTCTCTAAAAAATAATGTTTCAGACTGGAACCTTTAGAGGGCTGTACGCCTTCAAAGCGGCTTCCGATACTGGAGCAAATTTATTATATATTTGAAATGGTTTTGAGGGCTCGATATGAGTCAATGTCTTCTGTTACGTAGAACCATTTCCCACTATCTTCGCTTAATAGTTACTCGTAGGAGTGATGGTGAGAATGTCTCAGATCATAAAATGTTTTGTGTGTCTTGTCGAACCCCTGAGATCCTGATAGCTCCAGAAATCAATCAGTTTGAGCTTGTGTTTGCTTGGTTCCACGAAAATGGTTCAATAAAAGTTTCACTGTAGAAACAAAATGGTTCCAATCCGAACCTTTACTTTTTAGAGCGTAGGTACGATATGCAATAAAATTCAATTGATCGCGAAGCATCTGTGTAATTTTTGAAGAAGGGAGAGGTGAAAGGAATCGGAAGGGCACAAGAGAGCGAAGCCAAGTCCTCCGGGGGAGGAGATTAGTTCCACATCTGAAAGGCTCCAATCATCTCGTTGAGATTACTCGACGCACAAGCCACAGGCCTCGAAAATCCATTGGGTGGCTGGGACCTGTCGTCTTCATCGATTCCGTCCGCCTCTCTCACATCTGCCGAACCTCGTGCTTCAACCTGATCGAGAGGAAGATGTCAGGGGAGGGAGAGACCCTGAGGTGACGATGGTGTGTGCCTCGTGCTTTTTCTGTTTATGTGGGAAAGGGGGATTCGTCACAAAGGCTTCTTCGTCTTTCATCTTCCCTTTGTCACTGGGGGCATCAAAATTCCCTCTGATGGATGAGATAGGACTGGTTTTGACCAGCCAGAAAATCCGGGTCAGCATTTGCATTCATGTATGCCATTTCGGGTGGCTCATTTGGAAAACATGAGCTCAGGATGCTCCACACCAACCAGAGCATCTCTCCCCCATTAGGTGGGAGATGGAGCTCATAAAGAGCTTGCTTTGAAATCTCCTTATTGCCATTCCATTTGCGGGGCCTTGCCACCAGAATCTAATTGGTCAGTGGGCTTTCTCGTCGCCCGATAAGAGGCCTTCAATCGGATGATCTTGTGATGGGGCCTGGAACTCCCGACGGGGGAAACATCAAAGGGTCTCGATCCCGCTTGTAACCCACATTACGACCCCCCGCTGTCTTCCCACTTTACGCCTGGATATAATAAGAGTCTTCTGACTTCATTACAGCTCCATCGCACCCCGTTGTATCCAGGCTATCCCGTTCCCGGCAGACGTGCTCGGCATCTTTGCCAGAAGATCGGAGAATCTCCCGAGTCCTTGGGTCCTCAGATCAGACCTGGTCCCACTTTCGGTCTGACATATCGGATTCCCGGAACATATGCTTCGTATGAAAAAAGGGAGAAAATTATGACATCGTTGCAGAGAGGGACGGGAGGTTGGCAATAGAGAATGGAGAACTAAAAAGCCATTTACCGGATGGCTAACCACGGTCTGAATGATCATGAATGACAGTGCTAGATCCCCCTGCCCTAAATGGACGGGGGGGGGCATGCCCGATAGACCCTATGTGGGCTCTATGAATATCCCCGAGAACAAGGGGTTCTCTTCAGTTTCCCCTTCCATTCATCGCGTCTCTTTCGCGACACATCTGACAACGATATGACGCATAATTGGCCTTCGCTAGTTTCACCTTGAGGAGGAACTGAAAGTGTGGCGCTTGACACCGATGAGGAGCTGCCAGAATTGCAACAAAGCGGATAAAAATTCGCGCCATTTGTCTCACAGGGACCTTAGGTTCTTTAAGGTGTGATCTATCTCCCACTGAGATCATAATCTACAGTACAATGACGGCAAAGATACGTTCGAAAGTAACCGATTACAGTTACAAATGACATTCGGTGAGGCTTGTCCCTTCGTATCTCCATATGCGCTGCAGTGATTACCATCTTTGTTGTAGCCGTCTGCACTTATACCTGGCTGTAAGTGACACTCACCTAGAAAATGTGTGTTTTTTTTTAATGAAGTTATTTCCCGTTTGTTTCTGAAACATGAAAAATCGACTTGGGTCCCCCCCTTCGACACACTCGAGAGGTGACAGCTTGAACCCAATGATGCTGTGAAGTCTCTGATATAAACGAAAGTTTGCCATCGCTTACTTTACAAGTGCTGTAAAACGGCAATCAATTTAGTGCCTCATATGCATTCAATACAGCAAGAAACTTGACATGGCGTAACGCAAACAATATAAAATTTTCGAAAAAAAACATGCTAAAAGAGTGAAGATGGCGAATCCAATGGGTACATCTCTGGGCAGCTCGCATTCATCTTATTGTAACCCGCCTTCATGTTTTACTGTCTTCCAAATTTTTATGGATGACTTCTCTCCGGTATTCCTTTTTGTATTCCAAAAATCAGCCATGTACCTTTGTAATGCCGCAGCGCAGCCAAAAGAGATTCGCTACGGGAGTATACTTTACTCAACAGCGTCTTAGCCCAGTCTCGCGCTCGAAATCGACTGATTGATTTGTTTTATTATTATTATTATTATTATTATTATTGCTGGATGTGTGTGTGTGTGTGTGTGTGTGTGTGTGTGTGTGTGTGTGTGTGTGTGTGCGTGTGTGTGTGTGTGTGTGTGTGGGGGGGGGGGGGGGGGCCATGGCGGTCTTTC